GTTGTACGCTCGGGAGGGGGGATTCAGGAAAGATACGTTAGTCGTGGGCTGGAAGATAGCGTGGAGGGGTGCGATGGCGGACATCTCACGTAGCTGTTAATGGCTGATGTTTGGAGTCTATCGCTGCAGTCGGATCTCGTAGGGAGAATGTGGCTCCTCGACAGAGTCTTGGTGCCTTCGCAGAATGTAGTTTGTTATCTTGTGGAGGTGGCATTCGGATTGGGAGCTCCTTCAGTCTTTCAGCGATTGGTGGCACGTCGATCTACGGCTGGATGGTTGTTGCAGTTCATCGCTATGAAGCTGATGCTGTTGCCAGCTTCAACCTTCGACCGACTTCTACCTTGGGATGTTTGGAGCAGCTTTGAGGAGGGCCGCTGTGGCCAGATTCCCTCTTTGCGATGGTGTGCGCACTTGGGTGTGGCTTCTTTGAGCCCTCGGGCCGATGGCGGGCGTGGCCTCCCAACTTCAAAAATTCGAAGTTAGGCGTGCGCGGCGCGTGGGCAGCCGGGCGGGAGGGTGGTGGCAGGTTTTGGTTGGCGTCAGCCTATCAGGCATAGGCCAGGCGCTAGCGCACCTTAGCGCATCGTGCTAACCGATGCCGTGGGCGCAAAAGGTTTCGAGATTTTCTTGATAACTGTTCGGAGCTGAAATAACCTACGAGAGTTTTGACAGCATGAATTTCTAGAATCTCTTTTTAAAAAGGCTGCTAACTTCTTGCAGTGTTTACCCATCATCCATAACCTGTCCAATGTCTACACTGGTTGTTGCAGGGCGGTGCTGCAAGACCCGAAATGATGTCGTTTCAACCCGATCCGTCTCCTAGACGGGGTTGGGCTTCACCGGTATGTGGACAGGCGCACCAGACTCCCAATGGTCTCGGTCCGACTGGTGCATTTGGAGGAGTTGTTGTCAAGCCTGGCTGGTGCGTGTAAGGACATGAGCATGGTGATATGTGGTCGTTGCAATCACGCGCGCACACGAGAGAGAGAGAGAGAGAGAGAGAGAGAGAGAGAGAGAGAGAGAGAGAGAGAGAGAGAGAGAGAGAGAGAGAGAGAGAGACACTTCTTAACTGTTATGGATTTGTATACTCACACACACAGTCCAAGCAGCCACGGGGGTTGCCATAATCACAAGCTGGGGAAAAGAATAGAAAATGTAGTGCGCCTAAATAAATAAATAGCAGTATAAATACGAAAGTGTTTCGAGCATCCCAAACCCAAAAGGTTCCCCACATAGGTTTTCCCCAAAAACTTCCAGTAACTAGAATTCCTCGCGTCTGTGAGGTGTTGTGTGTGGTGTATGTTGAGTTGGACACTAAAGCCTTGCAGGGGTGGGGTGGATATCACGACCGGTATGGTTCCACTTTTGGACACCGTGCCCTGGCTGTAGTGGTTAAGATACTTGGCTCTTGAGGCCGAGGTTGCCGGTTCGAATCCGTGCTTGCATGGTGGAGGACGTCGAGCTCATGCTGGGATGGGTAGCGCCGTCCTGTAACCTCAGCGTTGGGGAGCTAGATGTGCAGATCCATTTAGCTGTTGTGGAAGCACCCGTTAACCGCGGGATATGTGGCCCGTATAGGTGGACGGGAGGGAGTACCGGCGGTAAGGGTTTGTGCTGATTGGCAAGAGCGAGGTGTGCGAGAATTCGTCATGTCTGTGTGGTGTTGTGTGTGGTGTGTGTTGAGTTGGACACTACAACCTTGTAGGGGTGGGGTGGATATCACGACCGGTATGGTTCCACTTTTGAACACCGTGTCCTGGCTGTAGTGGTTAAGATACCTGGCTCTTGAGGCCAAGGTCGCCGGTTTGAATCTGTGCTTGCACGTTGGAGGATGTCGGGCTCGTGCTGGGATGGGTAGCGCTGTCCTGTAACCTCAACGTTGGGGAGCTAGATGTGCAGATCCATTTAGTTGTTGTGGAAGCACTCGTTAACCGCGGGATATGTGGCCCGTATAGGTGGACGGGAGGGAGTACCGGTGGTAAGGGTTTGTGCTGATTGGCGAGAGCGAGGTGTGCGATAATTCGTCGTGTCTGTGTGGTGTTGGGTGTGATGTGTGTTGAGTTGGACACTACAGCCTTGCAAGGGTGGGGTGGATATCACGACCGGTATGGTTCCACTTTTGAACACCGTGTCCTGGCTGTAGTGGTTAAGTTACCTGGCTCTTGAGGTCGAGGTCGCTGGTTCGAATCCGTGCTTGCACGGTGGAGGACGTCGGGCTCATGATGGGATGGGTAGCGCCGTCCTGTAACTTCAGCGTTGGGGAGCTAGATGTGCAAATCCATTTAGCTGCTAGAGTGAAGAAGGTGGACAAAGCGCCATCGAAGAGGAGCCTCAGAGACTACAAGCGAAGCAACTTTTGCCGCCTCTTAATGCTGCACAAATGGCATGGCAAGCGCCATAGTGTAAGCTGGCAGGAAAGTTGAAGATATAGATTGCAGAGCATTCCAAAAACTTTAAGTAGTTTCCCCGACCTGAAATCAACGGAACCAAAGCACTGATGAGTCGGTGTACAGTGGAACCTTTGTGAGATTGTATTACAAAACGAGTTTGCGAAAGAAGTATTTCCTGTGATTTCTTGAACGAAGCAACTCTGCTGACGAGCCCATGGGATTCAGACGCGAAGCGTCTGCTCCTTGAGCCTTTGCCAAGGTGGAGAACGTCATGTGCTAAGAAATGGAATCCTTCTCCCGTAGTGACTATGCGAGTTTGATCAGGCACAAAGTGCAGGCCCATGGGTTGGAGCCATTGTGATAGGAACCCCTGAGCGCCCTGAACAAACTCTTCGAGCCCTGTGAAGAACAACGAAATCATCGACGTAATTGTCATTGATCAATTTGATTAACTAATAATCATAATATACTATTAATGAAAGTATATATATAATCTATGTATGTGCAATCTCCTATGTCATGCTATTTTCCCCAAATAAAGATTTTTGAGTAAGACATAATCTTTGCTACATCGGATATCTATTGTAGATCGAATGCACCGATTTCCATTGCTTAAACACACTAACGCACGTGTAAACGAGTGGTGAGGTCCAAATCGGCGGATACCGACCATATGGGAGTTTATTACCAATCTATTGATATTGATTGGGGGACAGGTGACTGAACAACAACTTGCTTTATTCGCCTTAATGATGGCTTTCTTAACTTTATGGGCAACCACGACACTACCAAATGAATTGCTCCTTTGCACTGCTTGTTCTCTCATGCGCGATAGCGAAGGAAACGCTGCAGTAGTCCGCAGCGAGATGGACACAACTTATTTTATTTATCCAACTGCGTGGTTGGAGACACCCAAATTGACGAACTCAAGATGGGGACCACCGCCTGTCGTGAAAGGGGGTCACTACCATTTTAGCTAATGCCTGTTTAGCTCGATCTGCAAGAAAAAGGAAGTGTCTGTGTTCAAATATACGGTCGACCGACATTCTATTCTAATCTAATTTAATTAGATTAGAGACGTTGTACAAGCGCTTTGTTGCTTGCCTCTCTACTCTACTTGTGAAGCAGCCCGCGAAATAGTTGCCCATTACACGGCTCACTAACTCTACTTGCTTTGAGTTCTCTTACCTATTTGGCGGGGTTTCACTGGATCAAGTGACCAGTTTCCCCCGTGGACTTCCAGGCAACCTCAGGACACGAAGGAGCTGCGAGCCTTGCCGAGTAATGCACCAATACTGCAGCCCAGGCTGGAGTCCGAGCAGTCACGGAGGATCCCTGAAATGCAGAATGCAGAGCAGCAAAATGAGGAAGAGCCGCTGCTCTCACAGTGTGTGCTCTTGGAACCGATTCTGCAGCTGTTAGACATTCTCTCTCTTGGAATCTGCCCTCATCATATACGCACAGTACCGATAGGTGTCACAACCAACATGGCTTCCACACGCTTTGAACACAGAGGTATGGTGGCTACAGCCGTACGGACAGTGCAAGTCCAATCCTCCTATACACAAGGGACATGTCATGAATGGGTGCAGAGGAGAACACCATCATGTGTCGAAATATAGACCTCCCTGCACTGTGCCATCATAGTGCTCTTGACAGAGGGAGTGCTGACCAAAAGCCAGTCTGAAGTCAGCAGAATCATAGATGGCAGTGAACAAACAGCTTTCAAGGCTAATGTGTGTGATATCACTGGATCTGTGTCCAGTGAGCCACTGATGATGAGGGCAGATCCTCCGAGGTTAATGTGCGTGCTATCAACTGGATCGTTATCCGGCCAAATGTGTTCATAGCGTGTGTAAGTCATGTTGGTTGTGACACCTATCGGTACTGCGCTATCCCGAATAGCGCATGCTACTGTCAGGATTGGATGCTCTACTTCCAGCAACCTCACCCGAATCATTCACGTACTGTGCTGATCGTCATATACTGTGATGCCCGTGCATTCTGTGCAACCCAACCCATCACGACTGCCTCCTTCATGCCAGTATGTTGGGCTGGTGAATACGGGAGTCCTTTGTCCGCCATGTCTTCTCCTTTTTTTTCTGTAGCTTGGTCCTTGTTCCTATTCTCGAAGGCTTCAGCCCGTTTCCTACGCGCCTGGCAATTCACCAACATACAATGATATCCCCTCTGTCGCCTCCCCTCGCTACGGCCAGGGGAACATTGGACAGCGTTGATTACTTTCCAGAGGAAGGATTGACTGTCAGATATGCCCAACCAAATGGCCAGCACCCCCCCCTCAAAGAAACAGGCCTGAAAAGCAAACTCTCAGTTGTCCCCCTCACTCTGCAGCCACTGACCGACAGAGCTACCATGGAATCCAAGAACCAACTTCCTAACTATTGCTGCTCTCATCCATTAGGCAAATAGGTAGGGACTTCCGGAAGTTTCAACATTTGCTCTTTGTAGGATTATATTAACTTCCTTGTTCCCTATTCAATTATTGTGCATCATCTTTTTTCTGTCCTCCTGCAGATGTGAAGAGTTCTCTACATTCCTGGTATAAGCCACCGGTTCACACGAACGGAGCTACCTTGCAAGGCTCGCGAGCCTGCAACTGCGCCTTTGCAAAATCGCCTGCCGCTTTTGCTACCGGCGCAGGCCCGAAACGGGACAGTCTTACTGCACGTACTGGCAAGGCCACAGCCTTGGCTCACATGAACTGGTGGTTTGACGACAGAGCTGGAGTAAAAGAATCCTCCTTCCCTCAGTGGAGCTAAAACAAAAAAGGTCCATGCTGTGCAGGGGATTCATCGGCCGGAATGGGTGTAAGCATAGTCTGTGTCAAAGTTAGTAAAACTATGGTATGTTACTTGCCTGTGGGAAGGAACCGCACTGAAGCTACCTTGAATGGACCTGGAGCCTGGACCATAAGGACCCGTGTTATTAAAAAAGAAAAAGTAAACCCAAAGCTGGAGTAATGCCAGTTCATTATTCCACAGAATCCACACTCTATTTCATTCTAGTTCCCAGTCTAGCTCCTATTTTGAGCTCTCATTTTTAGTTCTCACCATGGCTCCACTCTAGCTTCCAGCTTTGCCAATACGAGCAATGAAGACTGTGAAGCCTGTTAAACACTACTACCTCCGAGCCTGTTTTTGCCGACCCTGATTTTCACTGCACGCCCGAGTTTTGACGAGCCTGGGTTCCGTTTTTTTTTTTCTTTTTTTTCTGGTACTGAAATGGTATTCACCTGTTAGCAGTAGTGGATGCAGGTCCCAGGGCTCGATCCCTAGTCCTCACTTTACCTGTGTACAGTATCTGTGTCGACCCCGACTGTTTGAACCCGTGACCTGTGTTTTGATAGTTGTTGTTGTCTGTCGTAGGTGTGTGTAGTGGTAGGGGTTCGATCTGTAGGTCTGTCGAGTAGGAGTCACAGACTCACAGCCCTGTAGAGGTCATAGCTGTAGGAATCCTGACAGGTCAAGGTCGTAGCTGCTACAGTACTCGAAAGGCCAAGTCCACAGACTTCCGGAAGGTCCGGAAGTGGCCTTCGAAGCTCCCTCACGTTTTAGTCAGAGGCAAGTGGGCAAGTGCATTGAGTTGGCAATGCAAACCCATGCAGTCAGCGGTACCGGTCCAGTCAGTCCCAGTCCAGTCAAGCAAGTACCATGAGGGACTGTGTGCACCATAGGCCTGGTGGAGAGGGGCAGACCAACGAGTTACAAAAGTATAAATCAAGAGGCAGCGCCCAGTCATTCATTCATTCCGGCAGAAGCCATGCGGAAGCACTGCCACAACGACTTGTGCGAGGTAGTCTGCAGCATGCCCGAAGACGAAGGGGGCCGGAGGAGAGCTTAGCCACAACGGTAGAAGTAGTAGCGGCCATAGCCGCCATAGCTGGGAGAAGAGCGTAGTGTGTGTGTGCGTGGGTAATACAGTGTGTCGCATGTGGGATATCCAGGGTGATCCTAAGTTGAGTGTGTGTGAACAGCAGAGTTGGACACAGTGACGGGAAGAAAGTTGTATAGGTGCTGAAGTGCCATAGCCTGTTGAGGCGAGCAAGTATCTGAACTGTGTTTCCGACTTCCATATCTCTGAGCTTTGAGTGGGCGTTGAGCGCCAGTGTGGCTTGCAATCTGTTTGTGTGACTGCGAAGTGTGAAAGAGAGCGAGTCTGATTGCACTGGTATCGGAGCTGGTACCCGCTATCCTATGCGCCATCGCCGTTGCAGCAGGAGAGAGACGCGCGCTGTAGGGCGCCGTAGTTGAAGAGCGCCGTTGAAGAAGGAAGTCCGCCACAGCTGCGCTGCAAAAGAAGGTGTCGTGTACCTGCACAGAAGACAAAGACGGAGAGAGAGAGAGAGAGAGAGAGAGAGAGAGAGAGAGAGAGAGAGAGAGAGAGAGAGAGAGAGAGAGAGAGAGAGAGAGAGNGAGAGAGAGAGAGAGAGAGAGAGAGAGAGAGAGAGAGAGAGAGAGAGAGAGAGAGAGAGAGAGAGAGAGAGCTGAGCGATACAAGATTGGTTTGCTACGCACCTGCGTTGAAGACATCGCCATAGCGAGAGGGAGGAGTAAGATAAGAGTGGTTGTGCTGTCCAAGAGGAACTGGCAGCCATAGCAGCGGAGCTCGAACACGGAGTGACGAAGAAGGAAGCAGGAGAAAGGAGGGATGACGAAGTTGAAGACAGACATAGCCTGGGGTGAAAAAAAAAAAAAAAAAGAAAAAAAAAAAAAGAAAGAGTAAGGAAGAAGAAAGGGCGAGATAGAAGAAAGGTGAAGAAGGAGAAGAGAAGGGGAGTTGGCGAGGAAGAAAGTGCCGGCTGCCATAGCCGACTTGGGAGTTGACCAGTTGTTGACCAGAGGGTTGACCGAAGGGTTGACCGGAGAGTTGACCGGTGTTTGACCGTGTTGACCAAGCGTTGACCAAGGTGTTGACCGGAGCTGTTGAGTCGTGTTGACCACGATTTTTATCAAGTTGGAGTTGGTATAATCTCGCCAAGCCCTTAGCCTATCCCCTCGCCCTATGGATGTGCACTTACCCTATGGTACTTGTTGAGTTTGAGTCTGTCTGTCTCTTCTTTCCGCATTGAGTCTCTTCTGTCCAGGTGATAGGACTCCGTGTACAAAGGGTAGGGCCTCGTTGATCAAACCCACACGGGATGAGTAGGACTAAAGGCTGTGTCTGACGACTCGACTGTCCCGAAGGACACAAACCCTCCCAAGGACCGGTACTAAATGGCGGGCTGCTCGGTGTGGCACGATAGGCCCAAAATCCGAGCTGTGGGCTGCACAACGGGCCGTCTAAGTCTTGAGAGAACCTGCTGATCGCGTCGTCCTGTCTACGACGTTAAAGAATTCATGAGGAGTTACGGGTGATCTCCTTAAATGCATCCTGATCAGCAATAGGTTCTGTAGTGACGGCTGTAGTTTATAGTCTAGGCTAGAGACCAGAGTTGGCAGGATTCGATACGAATCCTGTGGTTCTTAGATTTAGTCGATCTTAAGTTGAGTCAGTTAGGGGGAAAGTCTAAGTGGTGAGGAGTGGAACCGTCACTTGGTTGTGCGTCTATCACCATGGTTGACACGCGTACCGGAACGAGCACCTCCCCTTACACAGCAGAGCAGGAGGCGAAAGCCGCCGCCATCCTGAAAGAGAGAAGAGAGAAGAAGGAGGCCAAGAAGAAGGCCTTGTTGGAAGAACAGGCGGCGAAGAAGAAGAAGATTGAGGAAGGGATGGTGAGGGAAATGGAGAGGTTGCAGAAGGAGGAGGAATAAAAACTTCGAGCGGTAGAGGCAGAAGAAGAGGTAGAAGAACAACCACTAGGTAGAGGCAGAAGAAGAGGTAGAAGAACAACCACTAGAGAAGAAACGGACAAGGAGAAAGAGCAATACCCAGTGGTGTGAAGGAAGATCCGTTGGAGAAGAAGATTACGGAATGGGTGGCCATTCTTTACCTGGGAGAAGAGGAGGCATTGATGTATGTACCCAGGGAAGAGCAGGAGGCGGCCATGAAAGAGTGGGATGCAGAGGAAGATCCACTCAAGCGGCAGGCAATCGAAGATGAGAAGAGGATGGAGTGGAAGTTGCGGCTGATGAGGGAAAGGAAAAGAAGAGTGGACATAGTGAGTCAGGCGGAAAGGGAATTGGAAGAAGTTATGAAACAGAGAGCGCAGATGGAGGCGCAAGCGGATCTATTGGGAAAGGTGCAGGTCATGGCAAGGAACATAGAGCGCCTGGCACAGGTCCAGGAAGAGCAATATCAGTTTGCTAGGAGTTAGGACTTAGCCCTGCGTTCTATACGGCTGGGATTCAAGGACTTCGCACGTGAGTTAGTGATGCAGGTGGGATCAGAGGTGAAGGCCCGCTTAGAGAGCACAGAGCATTATTGCACCGGCGCCATAGAGGGCGCCAGGCTGGCGGCACCCAAGGAGGAAGAAGCACGTCCTCGTAGGGAGCCTGTCAAAGTGAAATTTCCCGACTCCTATAGTGGAAAGGAGGAGGAGAACTTTGACAACTGGGAAGCGAATATTAAGACGTATGTGCACTTACAGAAAGTCGCCCCAGATGAACACATCCTGATAGTTATCCACGCTCTTAGGGAGGAAGCAGCAAGCTTCGCCCATTCCCTGTGTCGCGCCGCTAATTGCAACGATGACTTAGTTGCATATTCGGCATTTACCCCTCTCAACGATTTCATTAAGTTGTTGAGAGAACGGTTTGCAGACGTTACCTGTAGTGTCAAGGCTTCAGATAAACTGCAAACCATCCATTCTCGCCAGTGGAGGAGTGCCAGGGCACTCAAAGGTATCATGGACCAGTTGGTCAACCTCTTCTATCGTGCCATGCCCGAACAACTACGCGGGCATTTCTTTGAAAAAAGTCAGCAGCCTACCATGACCTATGATGCTTTGAGCAGGGAAGTGGTAGCATTCGAAGCGCGGTCCATGTCAGTCTCCACTTTCTGGCACAAGGACCTGGATAAGGGCAAAAAGTGGAAAGGCCGTACCATCTCGGGTCAGGTCAAGACAAAGGATCGCCTGATCCTTACACTAGATGAGGGTGGTATGGATGAAGTCCCCTATGATCAGAGAGAGTGGGGACTAGTAGAGGAAGTGGACAGTAGCGCTAGCCAGGGGAGGACTTACGCTGCTGTCGCGGCCGGAGGGAGGCCGCAAGGAGGAGGTAGAGGCCAGGGCCAAGGGGGTCGGGCCTCGGATGGTCGTTCCCAAGGCGATCAGGGGGTTGGCGGCAGGGGAAACTGCCAAGCGGGAGATAGGGGTCAAGGTCCCCCGCAAAACCGTTCTAGAAATAGGTCACCAAATAGGGGTAATAGGTCACCCTATAGGAGAAGTGGTTGGCACCCAGGTCTGCCACAAGGCCGACCTTGGGAAGATTTGGGCATGGACCAGCACGTCTGGCAACAGCGTGTGGACCAGGGGTAGTGCATATATTGCGGTGACCCTGGCAACATCATCAAATATTGTCCAAAGTCTAGAGAGGACCGATGGGCTGCCCAGGGGTCAAAAGGCAGCCGCCGGTAGGGGTTGCAACTGCCCCTACCATAAGGCCATGTGGGGAAACGAGCGCGAGCCGACAGAAAACTCCCACACCACATGTGCCTGTGGCAGAGGTTGTAGGCCAGTGCCTAGGTAGCTGTCCAAAGACTGCATGTGTTAGAGTGTTATGACCCTGGCGAATTTTGAGATATACATCCACCGGAAAGTACAATGCCATCCAATTGCAGAAAGAAATGAATGAATTTGAGAGGAGAGAGAGAGGATTAGAAGAAGAAGAAGAAGTAAGAAGGAAGAAGAAGAAGATGTACACCAGCAAAGACAATGACAAGGCTCTTCTTCGTCGCCCAACAATCTCCTCTTCCGTATCTCCCCCTTCTCTTATTCATACAAGAAATAATAATACAACGTTGAATGACTGATCCAGAATCAATGTCCGAGTCCCTCTTCTACTGCAGGTATCACTCAAGGTCCACCATAGCCATGGTCGCCTCTCCCACCCTTCACTCTCATGGGCCGAGGCTATGGCGGACTACTAGGCCTTGCCCAGACACCCAAAGGACAACCCAAAGCAGCTATGGCTGCTCTAGCTCAGTCCGCCATGCCCAACCTTGCCTTGAAGCTTCTTGGTGTGGCTCTCCCCGACGGGGACTCCTTGCTGCAGCGCCCACCAAGGTGATGAAGATGGCTGCCACCATAAGTACCCCTGGCGCTCCTCCCCCTTCCTTCCTCCTCCCTCCTTCCTCCCTCATGTCCTTCTCCTTCCTCCCCAGCAGTGCTGCTCCAGCCAGCGGTCCACCAGTGTGTCGCCAAACTTGCACACCGAAAAAGAGGTCGGGTCTTCTGCCCGACCTAAAGATATAGTGGCCTGCTTTGCCTCTTGGGCGGTAACTTCCAGGCCACTGGCCTTCCCAAGCAACCGGTACCTCCTCCTCTTTTGGAGGGAAACATCATTGCAGACTCTGATATTGCCCCTACAGGCCCTAGACGCAGACTGGTACCCGCTAGACTTAGCCTACACTACCAGCCTCTAAAAATGCCACTTTTATCTTCTTCTGCTCGGCCTCCGGTACCTGCATATTTACCCCCTTGTCGGGTGCGGTACCGGCCTACCCGCTACTTGAGTGCTTTTCCCCCCGCTGCAACCCTTCAAAGCCACGGCCACAGGTAAGTACCGGCCCTGAGGGCCCAACGAACGAACAAGTGCCCTGGTGGGCCATACACACACACTCATACCAACCAGCACACAGACAGGCACAGTCACACGCATGCAAGCCAACTAGCACTCAGACAGATATGCAGTCCAACAAGCACACACACACACATACTTAGCAGGCAGGAACTCGATAGGGCATTCAGTCATGAGCAAAACTCAGAAATCAGCTGTGTGTTTCAGTCCAAGAGAGAAAGTAGAGGATAACTGATACTAATAGACGTAGAAGTCTTTAGGAGCAGAGTAGGGGCCCTCGTAGATAGTGGGGCCACTCGCAGCTATATTAGTAGAAAGGCGCTGCAAAAGTTAAAGTTGGGATTGAAAGTCCAGAAGTTAGCAGACCCCATAGTAAGTACCCTCGCAGATAATGGCACGGTGCGAGTAGAAGATTACGTAGAGGGAGTCCATGCGTACTTCCGCCTAGAGAAAGATAGGAAGGTGGAAAGAGTCCTCCATTCCCTGACTCTCCTCGTAGAGGATAACCTCCCATTTGGCGTAGTCCTAGGAATGGATTGGGGAGAGGCAGCAGGGGCCACACTCCATTTGAGAGAGCACGAGTGTAGGCTTCCTAGTCCGTCAGACGGGTTCAAGACTGCCCGTCTGTTTCATGTGTCAGGAGTAGACAACTCCCTGACACATTGCTGCCTTAGCGCTCCTACGCTCGCGAGGTTAGTGAAGGAGCAGCAGCTAGAAGAACATGTTTTTGTAGCCTATGTTAGGCCAGTTACTGAGCCTAAAGAGGAAAAGCGCATAGATCCACTATTGCCAAGCTGCAGGGAGAGTACACAGATTTAGCTAAGCCGCTTGCAGGGGTAGTCCTGCGGCCCATCCAACATCGCATTGAGATAGAGCCTGGCAGTAGGACTCCTAAAGGAGCAGTGTATAGGATGTCCCCGCGGGAGTTGGAGGAGTTGCGCAAACAGTTAGATGAACTCTTAGAGAAGGGTTGGATTAGGCCCAGTTCGTCTCCATTTGGAGCACCTGTTCTATTTGTCCCAAAGCAGGAGGGAGAGCTTCGAATGTGCATTGACTATAGGGGTCTCAATGCTATCACAGTGAAGAACGCGGTAGGGTTGCAAGTATTTTTCAAAGATAGATTTGAAGTCCGGATCTCATCAGATAGAGGTCCATCCTGATGATTAGTATAAGACCGCGTTCCAGACTAGATATGGGCACTACGAGTTTATAGTTATGCCCTTTGGACTAACCAACGCGCCAACAACTTTTCAGCGTTGTATGAATGACTTGCTTAGGCCGTGGTTAGACAGGTTTGTAGTAGTCTACGTAGATGATATTCTAGTGTTCAGTAGGACCCTCCAGGAGCACGAGGGTCATCTGAGGCAGGTCTTGGAGAAGCTGAGAGAGGCCAACTTCAAGATCAATGCAAAGAAGTGCGAATGGGCAAAGACCCAAGTTTTGTATCTAGGCCATGTCTTAGACGGAGACGACATTAAGCTTTAGACGGAGACAACATTAAGCTAGAAGATATCAAGATCGCAGCGATTAGAGATTGGCCTACGCTCCGCACGTTGACAGAGTTGCGGTCGTTCTTAGGCCTAGCTAATTATTACAGGAAGTTTGTGAGAAACTTTTCCACCATCGCTGCAACCCTTCGCAGGTTGCTGAAGAAAGAAACAATTTGGAAGTGGGACAAGGATTGCATGTTTGCCATGAAGAAACTGAAGCAGGCATTGATAGAGTACCCAGTCCTTAAGGTAGCCGATCCGTCCTTACCTTTGGTCGTCACCACGGACGCGAGCCAGTATGGTATAGGTGTTGTATTACAGCAAGATGATGGCAGTGGATATAGACCCGTAGAGTTCAAGTCTGCTAGGATGCCTTCAGAGAAGGTAGCGACGTCCACCTACGAAAAAGAACTCGCTCTCAGGCAAGCACTAGAACATTGGAAGCACTACTTACTTGGGAGGCACTTCAAAGTCTATTCAGTCCACGAAACGTTGAGGTGGCTGAAGACTTAGGCCAAGATGACACCTAAGCTTACTAGGTGGGCCGCAGAGTTAGACCAGTATGATTTTGAGCTCAAGCCAATAAAAGGGAGGTACAATGTAGTTGCAGACGCTTTGAGTAGGAGAGCTGACTACTTTGGAGCGATAGTTCATTATCTGGATATAGGGAGAGACATGCAACAAAAATTCAGAGAGGCGTATGCGCAGGACCCTATCTATAGTGACCTCCTCAAGAGAGTAAAGGAGGCCCCTGAGTACGAACCAGACTACCACACTTTTGAGGGACTGTTATTTGAGAAGACTTACGTAGTTGAGCGATTGTGCGTTCCGAACAGTGAGGAGATCCGTAGTTTGATCCTAGGGGAATGCCATGATACTGAGGGATATTTCGGTTGGCAAAAGACTCTAGCTAACCTCATGCGCGCGTACAAATGGCCTGGGGAATGAAAGGCCGACTGCATAGAGTATGTTAATAGTTGTAAGGTCTGCCAAAGAAATAAAACCTCTACACGTGCCCCTCTAGATCTTCTCAGACCTTTGCCTATTCCTGACCAGCCGGGAGACTCAGTGTCCATTGACTTTATGGACACCCATGTCAAGAGTAGGCACGGCAAGAGCCAAGTCATGGTTATAGTCGATAGATTTAGCAAGTATGCAGTTTTTGTTCCGTTGCTTGCAGAGGCACGCACATAGTTAGTCATCCAAAAGTTTTTTGATCATTGGGTCAGTGAACGCGGGATTCCGTTGTCTATAGTTAGTGATAGAGACACCCGTTTCACTAGTCAGAACTGGCAGGAGTTGATGAGAGTCTATGGGTCTAAGTTGTTGATGTCATCTGGCCGTCATCCAGAGACTAACGGTCAGACTGAACAAATGAATAAGATCCTGGAACAAGTTCTGCGTATGTACATTAGACCGGATCAAGTCAATTGGGATGAGATGCTCCCAAAGGTAGCCAGTGCATATAACAATAGCGTGCATTGAGCTACTTGTCGCACTCCCAACGGGTTGCATAAGTCTTTCAAACCACGTAGACCATTTGAAGGGCTTAACCGGGGCCAGATTCAGAGGCTACCGCCCGGAACTAGGGAGTTTGCACTTCAGCACGAGAAGGAATTAGCTACCGTTGTAGAGAACCTTGGGAAGGCTCAGCATCGGATGATAGAGCAAGCCAACAAGCACCGTCGCCCGTCGCAGTTTTAAGTAGGCGACTTAGTCTGGGTCAAGTCTAAAGAATTTGCTCCCGAGGAGAACATCTCACAGAAGCTATTACCAGCGTACAGAGGACCGTGGCCAGTCCTAGCAGTCAAGGGCGGAGAGGATGGACCGTCCTACACAGTAGAAATCCCAGCACACCTCCACACCTACCCCGTGTTTCATGCGTCAAAGTTATTGCCATGTATCACAAGCCAACAGTTTTCATCTAGAAGACCCGTGATCCCTCCGGACATGGACGGAAGATACGACATTGACGGCATTGTAGGTGAAGACGTATTCAGAACAGGAGGTAGAGGTCATCCACAGAAACAGTATAAGGTTCGATTTGCATATCCGGAACCCGAGGACGATTGCTGGTTTACTAGGACTGAACTTCTAGAATCAGCTCCCGACATAGTGAGAGCCTACGAGAGAGAAAGGAAGGGAAAAGGTCCTGCCTTGGACTGAGCTATTCTCGAAGGACCTCGAATTTAGGCCGGCGGGAGTGAAACGGTATTCACCTGTTAGCAGTAGCGGATGCAGGTCCCTGGGCTCGATCCCTAGTCCTCACTTTACCTGTGTACGGTATCTGTGTCGACCCCGAGTGTTTGAACCCGTGACCTGTGTTTTGATAGTTGTTGTTGTCTGTCGTAGGTCTGTGTAGTGGTAGGGGTTCGATCTGTAGGTCTGTCGAGTAGGAGTCACAGCCCTGTAGAGGTCGTAGCTGTAGGAATCCTGACAGGTCAAGGTCGTAGCTGCTACAGTACTCGAAAGGCCAAGTCCACAGACTTCCGGAAGGTCCGGAAGTGGCCTTTCGAAGCTCCCTCACGCTTTACTCAGAGGCAAGTGGGCAAGTGCATTGAGTTGGCAATGCAAACCCATGCAGTCAGCGGTACCGGTCCAGTCAGTCCCAGTCCAGTCAAGCAAGTACCATGAGGGACTGTGTGCACCATAGGCCTGGTGGAGAGGGGCAGACCAACGAGTTACAGAAGTATAAATCAAGCGGCAGCGCCCAGTCATTCATTCATTCCGGCGGAAGCCATGCGGAAGCGCTGCCACAGCGACTTGTGCGAGGTGGTCTGCAGCATGCCCGAAGACGAAGGGGGGCGGAGGAGAGCTTAGCCATAGCGGCAGAAGTAGTAGCGGCCATAGCCGCCATAGCTGGGAGAAGAGCGTAGTGTGTGTGTGCATGGGTAATACAGTGTGTCGCATGTGGGATATCCATGGTGATCCTAAGTTGAGTGTGTGTGAACAGCAGAGTTGGACACAGTGACGGGAAGAGAGTTGTATAGGTGCTGAAGCGCCATAGCCTGTTGAAGCGAGCAAGTATCTGAACTGTGTTTCCGACTTCCATATCTCTGAGCTTTGAGTGGGCGCTGAGCGCCAGTGTGGCTTGCAATCTGTTTGTGTGACTACGAAGTGTGAAAGAGAGCGAGTGTGATTGAAGGTACTCTTCTGGAAAAAGAAAACCGGCCATACTTTCAAAAAACAAACAAGCACGGTGTTCAAGCACATCCACAAAAAAGAAAAAGAGAAAAAAACGAACGCCGCTTTAGACGTAATACCGGGCAGATACCCACCCCAAAGTAGTTGTGCGAGTATGCCCTCAGTGAGGGTGTTTACAGCAGGGGTGTCAGGTCCACAGAAGAAGAAAAAGAATAAAAAAAACGAAACTGAACTTACGGCGGGAAAGCGGGTTCATACATTCTGCAAAGTAGTAGCCTGGGCATGCCCTCCTCCACAAAGTGTCAGCAGCCCGTGGAATGCGCCGCACCTCCCTGGCAGGGCACCAAAACAAAAAAAAGAAAGAAGACAAAAACACAAACAACCARAACCTGAAAAAAAAAAAAAAAAAGGCAACGAGAACCTGAAACTGGCCACAATAGTAGTTATAGATACTTTCTTGTAAGTTTTGGTGTGAGCACAACTTCGTGCATGCCCTTCCCCGACATGGTCTTTTGCTTTTTCTTTTTGTTTTTCGAATGGGCCCACAAGGCCCAACTGCCTAGCCTCGTCCGACCCCCGAAAAGTTTGGAAAAAATGTGAAAACTTCGAAACTGTGATATTCAGTTTGAAGTTGGGAGGTACTGAGCTCTCTGGTGGAGATGTAATAGCTGCAGATGTTGGCGTTAGCAGTTATGGTGACAACAAAGTTTCCCAGTGCTTTTCTGTGCCCTGTCTCTGATTTTTCCCTCCCATGGCTGCTGCAGGTTTTGGTTGTAAGGGCAGACCTCAAAATGACTGGAGGGAAGATTGCAGCTCAGTGTGCACGTGAGTTGAAAACTGAGCCAATTTGTTGCACCTTTGGTCCTTCCCTCCGCTGTTTTCGAAAGAAGGGGAAAAAATTTGACGAATGGAAAAAGGGAAAAAGGAAGCAACCCTGAGTTTCTTTTTTGGTCGTTCAGATTATAAGAGATGGAGAGTTTTGCTTCTGCTTTTCTCGGGCTAAGTTCCTTTTTTTTTTTTTTTTTTTTTTTTTNTTTTTTGTAAGTTTTTTTTTTTTTAAGCCCTTTTGCAAGGCCTTTATTCCAGTGGTGGTAAGAGAACCACCGGAATTGAGGCTTTGCCTGTCGGGTTGCTCCTTCTATTGGTGGGGAGTGACACCTGCTCGAAACCGGGTCCAGCATCCCTTGGATACATCTTATGAGTACAGAGTTCGCCGGGGCTGTGGCCTTGCCAGTTCCTATCATAGAGCACCTTTTCCTCCGGGCTGCCTCCTTCAACCCCTTACTTCTGGCGCTCCTATTTCCTATGAACCCAGCCCTCGCTGTTCCCAAAAATGTTTTCTCAGTTAGGCAGGCGAACTCTCATCTGAGGAAGCCCTGTGGCCACATGAGCTAATGGATGACTCACAGTGTGTGTGGGCACACTCGTTGGGAACAGTGGCTTCCAAACTTAATGCACCAAAAACTTTTATGGCTGTGAAGAAGGATAAAATAAGGAGGGACAGATGAATGTTATTTTCTTCTACTTCTTCTTGTGTTGCAATTAACCAATCAAATGGGAACACAATTTTTTCCGAGCAGCGAAAGCCTCAAAGCAGAATGAGCATATATGAGCAAAGTTGAAAGCAGAATTACCAAGCCGAGAGCACACCAAGTTAGAACACACTGACACTGAAGTCTCTTGATAATTCATCTTCACTCATCAATACGACCACAATGTAGCAGTTCTACTATGATGGAACTGCCTACAATACTCTCCTACTATCTCTCTATACACTGCCTACTTCTCTCCCTCGTACTCTCTCTGTTTCTGTCCACTCTCCTCACGCCTAACAATGCTGCAGAGTCCGGAGATATCTCAAGACTGCCGCCCTTTTTCCCCCAAACCCCCTAATCCTACTAAAAGTTAAAGTGGGCCTCGTGTCACGCTCCCCGCGGGAACAAGGCTCCCTCGGACAATATGCAGGCTACCATGTGTGCCCTAACATACGTATTTTGTAAGCCACGTGACAAGCAATCGAAGTGTGAGGGGTTGCGACCGTACGCAGGACTAACACTCCGTTTCGATCACGGATGTGAACGGTTCGGTCATGAAAGTTAACCGGATGGTCGGCGCTATGCAACCAAAACATGCCTAGAATCATGCCGAACTTGGTGTCGAGGATGTCGAAAGATACCGGCTCGCACGCAAGGGGCGCAAAGTACACCGGAACGCCGTCAACGCATCGGTCAATTGACTTTTGCGTGCGGCCGCCCGCAAGCGTGACTTGCATAGGTTGCGTCTTCCTTCAAACGCGGGGGTCGAGGCCCGCGCGGGCCATAAAGGCTTGGCTCATAAAGTTGCGAGGCGCTCCGCAATCAATCGAGGCACTGCAAGTGGCCTTTTCGATTTGAATGTGGATATAGAGCAAAGGAGCGTCGGTTTCGACGTACCTTTGGGTGGCGTGCTCGCGGTCAATCTTCGCAAGATAGGAGCGGAGAACGACAACCACTACTCCGTCGTCTGTCAATGAAGATGGTACTGCAGCGTGCAAGTAGGAGCGTAGATTTGCCATCAAGGCGTTACAATGCGGTTTTGGCAAGGATCCGGTCGAGGGTAGAGGCATCCAAGAGAAGTCCTCTCTCTTGAGCGGGTCGAGGTCCTCAAGCCTTGACCACGACGTCGAGTCCTCGGAAATAAGTGGCGAACTGACCGGTTCTCTTGCCGACGGTGTACGAGTTACGCATACGCTATCTAAGTGCACATGGCTAGGCTGGTCCAATGGTGGCACCAGCTGGGCGGCATAATCCTCGTACGTGTCACGAGAATCAGCGACTAATGCATGCTCCGCGGCAGTGATATTGGTTGTTAGCAAGGCAACCGTTTCCGACGGAGTGTGGAGAGGTGTCGCCCCTCTCCGTGCGCAACTTAGTTTCCCGAGTTAGCTGGACGGGGTACCTTTGCTTTGCCCTTGTCCGGGCATTGTGCAGTAGTGTGGTTGACACTGTTGCACCAAAAACAATACCCATACGTTGTCGAAGTTCGAATACTTCCTTGGTGATGTTGTATGCCATCCATGGTTGCTGCCTAGTCTCCGTCGCTGCCGTCCCTTGTGTTGCCTTGTTCTTCCGAACCCTTTTAGGACGCTTCGGCGGGAGCGCTGCAACAACTCCTCCATCACTCGAGGAGGCTGCTGCAGCAGGGAGACCAGGTGATCCGTCAATGATCACCACATTGTTATGCGCTGTCCTTTCGTAGCCTTGCTTAGCCACATATTGCGGCTGGGACTGCCTTTCGTTGGCGGCCTTGTCATCCGTTTGGATGACCAGGTTAGCACGGTCAAGGATGGCCTTGAATGAGGCATAGTCGTACTCGTTACCGAGTGCTGACCGCAGTGCTCCACACGATCACTAAAAGAATTCGGATCGCAGGTTTGGGAAACTTAAGTCGAAACCAGGAGTGGTTACCATCTTCTGCCACTTGATCGTCCAATCTCGTGTTGACATGTTCCCTTGCGAGCTGGAGTAGACCTCGTTCATGGCCACCTTCACTACATTTCGGACCATGAATCGAGTGTGCCACATTTGCTTGAGCTGCTCCCACGTGATGTGTTTGTGCAGGTCGGCGATGGTGGTTCCCAGATTGGCCGCCGTGTGGTTCATAAATGCTTGTGCTCCTCCAATGAGTTGGAGGTAGGGTGCTGTCATCATCAGGTCCTCTGGCACGTGGTGGCAGGCTGCGTCGGTGATGCAGGCTTGCCACCATGCCAAAGCGTCTGTTTTGTTGTAATCATCAAACTTCCCGATGTTGAAGCGTGGCATCTTGTATGCTTTCAAGACGGCTTCCGGTCGTGACTGCAATTTGGTGATGTCCGTCTTGATGGCGACCACCGTGCTGCTGATTGTGGCTGGACTGGTGAAGTCACACAGGTCGCCGATGATGGTGAGGACATGGTCGATGCGCTCTCTGAGCTGCTTGGCTATGTCCGTCGTGCAGCCTGGCGCTGCTGAGGGCTTAGCCTCGATGCTGTTGACGCGTGTGATAGTGGATGTCAACCTCAGCTGCTGTCCAGTGTGCGTGTGCACAATCTGCATCGTGTTGTTCCACATTACCGCCCTCATCATACACAGCATTAAGTTAGCCAGGTTACTCCTTTCCGCCTCTGCCGGTGTCGGATCCGCCTGCTCGTCCGTAGGCACAAAGATCATGCCTTCGAGTAATGCTGTCCACTGACTCTCATTCTGAATCAGGGACTCCGTGCTGGCGGCGTTCCGCTTGTGTCGAGCCGTTGTGTCAGCCTCAGCAGTCCGCTGAGCTTGGGATGCCGCCCCTTGGGCAAGTCGCTGACGTTCTGCTTCTGCTGCCTCTTGCTGTGCCTTTGCTGTGGCGACGGCATCCGTGAATGCCTGCACCCGCTGAAGGTAAGCTGCCAAAGTCTCGTGGTCCCCCTGGACCGGACAGGCGGGAAGGACCCCTGTGGTGACCGGTACTGCATTGGTACTGGATGCCGCTGGAGCCGTTCGCCTGCTGCGTCGTTGTTGCTGATACTTAGGCCGTGGAGGTATCACAGTGTGGCTATGAACTGCGAGCCTGGCACTGCGTCGTGGCAGTGCCCCGGTGTCCTGTTCCGTCGACATCAGCACTGCTGATGTGGTACTTGGAGACCTTGGTGGTCACAGAGTACGGGCAGGGAAGGGAGGGTGGGAACAGGGGTAGAACAGATCAATCAATCAACATACAGTCCCCTGTCCCAATGTGGACTGGACTCCTAATCAAAGAGGAAAAAAAAAAAAATAATAGTAATAAGAATAAATAATGGTTTAAAATACGACGAACTTTAAATTGTCGGCAGGTCAAGTGTCCGTTGAGATCGCCTATGTTCCGGGAGTTCACCGTTGTTAGTGAACTTCCTGGAAGTTGCAGTTCTGGGGCAAACGATTTCGGACAGTCTGCGAACTGAAAAAAAATTCGGACCATTAGGAAAAAGGGAAAACACTCAAATTTTTGAAAAAACGTGAAATTTTGGGAATTTCAACCTTAAATCGTCCGATTTTCAGAAGGCCGAAGTCCGCATTCGGAATTTCAACAGTTAGGAAAAAAAAAATCGCGAAAATTTCGGACGTCAACCCTCATTTTCCGCAATTTCACGGAATTTCCGGTTTATGGTTCCAGAAAACACGAATTTTCCCCCAATGTGGAAAACCAAAATTATCGCCAACCTAATTCAATACCGAATTAAAATAGAATACCGAATTAAAAATAGAATTTTGCAACTTGAATCTTCGATAGCAATGCAGAACTAATTCGGAAAAAGACAATGCTAATTAAGCAATCGATTCCCTAATCAGAATTACCCTGTGAGCAGATCCACTTAATTGGTCTGCTCTGATACCAAACTGTTGCATACTAGTGAATACTTCACCAAGTATGGGCAGAACCAAAGATCAACCCATATAGGATGAGCATGTATGCAGCGGAAGTCTGAGAAATGGACTGACTCAGATAGACTGAACTCACCCAAACATCACTCAATACACAAGCAATCGTGAGATGGTGGGGTCTGAAGCCATTCATGGACGGTGCTTCAGGCCCCGTACAATCATACACAGTACAATCATACACAGATGAATGGTGGGAGGAGTGACGATGGGGGTGGGAGATATGGACAGCGCCAGATGTCACCGAAATAGAATCCAGAAGGTCACCGATATGGTAGCCCAAAATGTCACGGAAACAAATCAGAGTGTTGTGGACATAAGTCACCAATGTCGGAGGTACAGAATCCTAATGTAACGGATGTCCGATCTGTGATGCCGCCAGATATCAATCCCACCATCTCCAATGTC